ATATGGAAAGCATTTCTCATGAGTTGAGTTCGTTGCTAATTGGTGGCGAATTAGACGGGTTTGGGGCAATTAGAACTGTTGCAGCAACAACAAGCTGCATAGCTGGAGCAAAAAACACAAACGGAGCATGTGGTGTTACACAATTAAATAATAATTCATTGTACAACGAAATGGCAGCAACCGCATCTACTTCAAGTGTCGCATCCAGTCAAGAAAACAAGGAATTAGAAATGCTGCATTTATATCGTCAATATTATCACCACCAACAGTTGCAATACCAGCACTTGCAGCAGCGGCAACACCAACAGAAAGTTCTGCAACAACATTTCAATGCCATGCCAACTATGTTTGCCACTGGCCACACCCCGAATGCCGTCGCCGCAGCACATTTAAAATCTGCAATGCCACAGGGTCTGAACGCCAATATGAACAACAATTACGCTTCTGTACCGCCGTTAACAAAGCCAGTGCAATACGATTCCCAATCAAATGTTCGTAGCGTAACAAGTGGAGCATCGCCAAAGCTCTCGTCGTCGCCGAAATTTGAGTTTCACTTCTTACGTTGCCAGTCTAGCAACATCCATCCTGCTACCAATACTGTGCCACTTATTTCAAGTGCTGCCCGCATTGAAAGTGAAGCAGACAATTGTTTTGGATTTAGTAGACGTAACAATCGAGATGGTGGTAACTGCAATAGTGGCAGCGGCCAACGCAGATTCCCCAAGCAAACTGATTTTGGGAAGGAAGAAGAAATTGATTATGACAAGATTGTGGTAGATTCATCTGTGCTGGGTTTGTCGTTGGATAAGTAAGTAGTTTTTAGTAGAAGTGCCTTTGATTCTTACGCCAATTAAACATTCGACACTTCATTATAGCAATGAACCTAATCCGGTGCTGCGTTTGTTTAGTCTACTTCGTAAGATGCATTACTATTTAAATGAAGTCTTACCTACAAATGGTACTACGGAAGACAGTGAGTTTCTTTCAGCTAACTTGCAGACAAATACGCAGACAAAGTGCTCCATGCCATGTACCATGAATGTGCAATATCAAGTTAGGCAAGCAGCACGTAAATGCACAATATTCTTATGTGATATGCAACGCATTTTGAACGCAAATAAAACATATAGTCCCGAGTTGTATATGGAATGTGAACAATCGTTGAATATGATGCGCAAATTACTAACGCAATTTGAGGCATTTAAGCGAATTGAAATGGAACATAAGCGTGGACAATTTGTTACCGAAGATGCTAAAGGTATTATGCATGCAGCATGCTTTTTTTTTTGCATATCCAATATGTTCTATAACCTTCCATTACAGTTCAGACGCAGAATTTGGAAAAGCTCGTAGTGCAGATAAGCGATCAGATACGCGAATCGCATATCTATGTGCATGCCTTCAATTGGGCAGTGGAGCGTTCGAAGCGCTCGATGATATATAATGCTATGAAAGAACAGCAAGCTATCTTATCAAATGCGAATGAATGGGCAACAAATACATCACAGACAGCCGCCATGGCAATGAATACTACTGAAAACATGGTAACTGAGAATAAGACCGATGTTGAATATAGCGGTATTGCTGGAGAGTCTCTTGCTTACGATAGAAGCTATTGTTGTAATGTGGGTGCAGTTACGGTCGCTGAAAATGAATCGGACATTGATCGTCAATCGACACGCTATATTGGTTATAAGTAAAGGAAGGACGGTTGCATTAAAATACGTACATATTTAATTGAAATATATTTAGTTTAAGTGTGTGTTAGGATTATATAGGTATTTTTTCAATTACTTATAACCGTTAGTTTTTTTAATTTAAATATTTGTAACAAAGATTTTAGATATATTTCTAGTTTAAAAATTATACATATTACTTTTTATTATATTATACTTTAAACGACTTAATTTTATTATAATTTTTTGCAGTATTTTGTTGCAATTTAGATTTTTAAACGTATTTTAATTAGTTGTAAATTATTTTTAAATTTCGATTTAATGTTTGCTTTTTAAACATATTTTTAAGATTTTTTAATTAGTTTAGCTTAGTTTTTGATAATTATTTAAATTTTATTGAAGGCCTTAGAAATTTATTTGCACTGCTTGGGAAAAGATACGAGTTTGAAGGCTTTTACACAAGCTAGTTATACGTTTGTCGATAAAATTGTATAAAAGGCCTGCTGTTAGTTTTTAATTTAATTATCTCAATTATTTTTCCATTTTCAGCGCTATTCTAACAAAGTCTTAAAGTTCAGCACATCACTATTGAGATTTCTACTGCTACTCGAGAGTATGCCGCTACAAAACAAAATTTTGAATTTTTGTGCATATCTTTAGCACTTAAAATAAAATTTTTGTGGCATTTTTTTGACGCGCAGTACAAATCACAATACTGATGTGCTGAGTTTGTGGCTTGGTTAGAATAGCGAGGTTAACAGCCTTATTCTGTATCACGAACGATTCGCCTGCAGAGGAGTGCTTTAAAAATTAGTCTGGTGGCATCATTTTAGCCGGTGCAAGACGAAGTTAAAATCGCAATCAGAGAGGTTTTCGTCCGCAGACGAATCGTCGTTTTGCTTATCGTTCGTGATACAGAATAAGGCTGTTAGTAAGATTTTTCATTCAGTTAAAAACTTTTTAAATAAATACTGAGTTTGGAGCGCAACACTTGTGAATGATTACTCAGTTTGAGCGGAATATAATAAAACAGACAGTTGTTTTACTCAATCCCAGGAGTTCTGGGGAATATTGCTTAACTATTAGCCTTGGTTCAGATGCAAACGTAGAGCGTTATGTGGGCCCGACGGTCAGGTTTTTTTTAATTGATTACAAGTAGTTCCTACAATTTGATCCGCAATAAAAAAATTTTGATTGCATAAGCTATTTAAGTTTAATTTGCTTCTTAGCCATTAATTGTTAATTTTAATTGGTATGTTTATTTAATTAACATTGTAAAAAAATTTTGTTTTAACGCTGTTTGAATGTTTTAAACTCAATTGTTTTTTTAGTTATTTATTGTACAAATGTACGGCATTTGTATTATTTCAGTGATTAGTTGTAAATTATTATTAAATTTCAATTTAATGTTTGCTTTTTAAACATATTTTTAAGATTTTTTAATTAGTTTAGCCTAGTTTTTTAGTAATTACCTCTTATTTAAATCATATTTTAAATTTTATAGAAGGCCTTATGGAATTTATTTGCACCGCTTGGGAATGATATGAGTTTAAAAACTATTTTATGTAGCATTTCAACACTAGTTAGTTATATGATTGTAAAGTAAGATTTTGCATATAGTTTACAACTTTTGTGAATGATTACTCATTTTAAACCAAATAGAATAAAATCACAGTTGTTTTTCTATTAAGGCAATCTCGATATAAAACTTCGAAACGAGTTTGATGTAAACACAAATCCCGCAATTGGGCCTTTAATTACGATAGTTCTTGTTGTTGTAGTGGCATAGAAAATTCCTCGTTCCCGTTAAATATACCCGACTGCCATTTTTTTAAATTAATTTCAAGTACAGTGTTTAGTTGGGAAAAATCCTCTAAACTTCCTTAGCTCCCTTCAATTTGAATCGAATGAAAAAAATTTTTGTTGCATAATTAAACTGGATATTCTTGATTGCCCTTAATTTTTACTGGTATGCTTATATGTGAATGAAAATTGTAAATAGCTTTTTTAGATCGCTATTTGATTGTTTTAAATTACATTTTTTAAGGTTATTTATTGTACAAATGTACGGAATTTGTATTATTTTAGTATAAACATTTTAGTTTTATATTGATACACTGATTGTACATAAATGTATATAAAAATTAATTTTTTTAGTTTAGTATGTATATGCCATGCAGTATTAAAAAAGGCTCAGTTTGAATTGATTTTTTATTTTTAAAGTCCACTGAATTCTTTTCTCAAAATTATTATCTTATCAAGCGAGTACTATGTACTTTTTTTAAGGTAAATACCACTGATTTTGATTGTAAATACTCGAGATTTTTACATTTTTTTTTATATTTTTATTACTCACAAGATGTCAACTAGTCATATTGTCATTCTGGCATGTTCTGCAAATTGTACGATTTGAAATCGGTGCGATTTGCAAAATATTTTTGAATGTTTGTAATTAAAGTATTACATATTTCAAATGAAAACTGCCAGAAACTCATAATTTACGTCATGTGCATCGATTTAGTCCCAACTCTTTTAAATAAATATCCACAATAGAATTTGTAAACTGTAAATTGTAAACACGCACGATAAATAGCATATGTTGCATACAGGCTAAAAATATTTTTGAGTGATTCATGGCAATTACAATACAGTTTTAAACGTTTTAACAACATTTTCACATGTATTTAACGCTATTCCGCTATTTTTACTCAACAGCTTCAACATGCGACCACGTGAAGAGAGCAATCTTATTTTGAATTTCTTAAGTAGACTTGATAAACATAAAATGAAAAGTTGTAAAAAAATAATAATACAAATTTTAAGTTTCTAAAATGAGCTTAGTCCAGTTTTTTAAATTTAAACAGTACAGAAATATCTTTTCAAAATTAGTTTTCTTCAAGTATTTTGTAAAAACCTACCAACGATTCGGTTGAATTCGATGTCAATGCAGCTTTTTACTCAATTGGACTTATTGAATTTTCCGTGCTTCTTTCGACTTATTAAATTTGCGTTTCACTAAATATACATAAATGAGTAGGAATAAAACAAGCATGTCATTCGAAGGTAAAATTTTTAATTTTCATTGTATGTAGCTTTTTATAAAAAAGTGGACATTGTAACGTTTCAGTCTAAGCGATCGATTTGTAAGCCGAATCATACGAATTTTAGTTCAGTGGCATTAATTGCTTGCCTGATGAGAGTTTAGGGATACAAATAAAACTTAAATATGCATGTACAACCTCATTACAAAAATCTCGTTTAACAAACTTGAATTTAAGATATTCTTTATATGCTAGTTTAACGATTGCAATTAAATACATATACATACATACATATGTATGTATATTTGTTCACTTGTCATTTTTTTAAATCTAATCTAATCTAATATTACACTGCGATGCTATTTTTTATACACACACTTAATTTCAATTGCTTTAAGAAAACATGGAACATTGTATGCCTATATGTAAAAGGACCTCAAGCCATTTCCAAATAAACGAATTATTACCAAGGTACAAGATCATTATATTTTCTTTCTGTATGTAAACATTAAAACGATTTAAAAATTTTTCACTGCTTGAAATACCAGTCATATGGTTTTATGAATACATTCTTAGAAAATCCTTCAAGAATCTTTGCAAATGCTTCTTGCCATGCCGGCCGTAATTCGCGGAAAATTTCCTTCCAATTTTCATTGAGAAAAGCATGCGCTGTATCGGATAAATCCTTATTGCCATCGAAAAGTCCACCAAACTGGAAGTGCACGTTTTCGGGATCCGATATAGCTAAGCTTATATCTTTAAATGTTAAATATCTATCGGCGCCCTTAGTCACCAGTTTACCATTTAATTTCGCAGTTAGTTTTATATTTTCTGTAATTTGGAGAATTTATAGGTAATTATTAGTAAATTAGTTAGATAATTACATAGGGGATTCGCAAGACGTCTTAAGCGTCGTAATGCATTAAAATTGTACAATTTATCAACGTAAAATGTTTTAAGATGATTTGTTACCACGCCGAAATGTTTTACACTGGTTTAATATATATTAAATTAACTTTTTTACACAGTGTGGGTTTATTAAAAATATTTTAGTTGTTATTTTAGATTGAATAATTTTACGACTTCACGATTTTCAGAGTCTACGACACCTAAGACATCTTGTGAACGACCTAAATGCTTTTTTAGCCACTTATGTTTTAGTATTTAGCCACTAATTTGTCCTTACTTAGCACTATCTCACATTTGCCACTGCCTTTGAAGGGTAACCCCAAAACTGTGCCGCCGCCTTGATAGGGCCCACGTATGATGGCTTGTGGTAAAGTACCTTCTAGTAAAATTGGTCCTTGGACATCGTGCGTGAAACCGCTGGATGGGGCGAGAGAAATAATATGAGAATAAATCAACGGATGTACATAAGACTTCCACCACTTTAAAATTTTATATGTATGTATGTATGTATGTACTCACTCGACTTTAATATTTTGTAGATTCTGCAAGCCGATAATTTCAATATTTTTAAAGCTTATTTCTATATTAATAGGACTCTTTGTATTTGGATTAATTTTCAGCGACTTAACACGTAAAGGATCAAATGGAATGAGATTCAATTCACGCGCGCCGGTTTTGGCTTTCTTAAGCAGAAGATTTACGACGTTTACGTGACAAGCCGAATCACCAAAGGGACACTTTTCAAAGTCAAGCGCTGAAGTGGGGAAGTGGAAAATAATTATTTAAAAAAAAGTATTACACATATGTATCTAAGGTCTTCTGTAATACCTACAAAACTCAAAACAAGAAAAAACCTTTCTACTGAATAGCGGCACATATCTCTAATCCTTGTCTAATCCACGAATAATCCTTACTAAATCTTACAAAGCAGTCATAAAGATTTAGTAAGCATTAAATATAGATAAGGCAAGGATTAGAGATATGTGCCACTGTTCAGTAGTTAAGGTTTTATTTTTTGTTGAGTGTCGAGTTGTGTCATTATTGCAGAGCACCATCGATATGCACTTGCACTTTGAATAAGCTCACCTAATTGCGCCGTTATTGTGTGCGCACTGTAGACTGTGCACACCAACACTGTTATCCAAGTAAACTGCAACATCCTTGATTTCTCTGCTGCCTTTATTGCTAATCTCCGTTTCGTTCAAAATAATTTCAGCGAAATGTGTCGGCCTTTTGAACTTGATTTTGTAATGAATTTGCAAGCCATTGCAGCATTTCACTTTTATACGTTTCTTATTTCTTGATTTGCAAAATACGATTCGCTTTAATTGGTCAGAAACAAGTTCAACAGCGAACATTTGCTCGCTCTCGCACTTAGTTGAACAAGGAGTTGTGCATGTTAATTAATTAATGAAAAAAACGTGTCAACATGATCACATCTGGATGAGATGTTAAATGCTTTTGAGTTATTAAGACCCACAAAGTTTGCTACAAGTATATATGTATGTGCACTATTTTTTTTTTATTATCGCAACGCATTAAAAGCATATAAAATAAGTATTATGAAATACAACTCACTATTTAAACTGTGTGCACAATATGGATGATGTCGACATGCATGGATGCATAAATTTATAAGTGTTTTTTTTTTCCAAAACACATTGACATAAATTAATGCTTATCTTCAACTTATACATACACATATACAGATAATAAATATGTATTTGAAAAAATATATGGCTCTAAAAAGTCTGAGTCAATGACTTAAATTACTTCTAGTTTATATATATACTTTCTTATTTTAGAACAAGTTTCAGCTTTTAATTTTGGAATGAAAGTCCATTTATGTACCCAGAAGATAATTTAGCTAGGCCTTATTTATTATAATAAATAATTGTTTGAAAAATGATTTGGCTGTAAAAAATCCGATTCTCTTAGATCCTGTTTCAGAGTTTAATTTTGGAACGAAAGCCCATTATGTACCTAGAAGATAATTAAAAGTGGCGCATGAACAAATTTTATTTTTATATGGAAAAAAATGTACAATACATCGACAAAACACTCAATAATCAATGAGAGTTTTCAGAATTTTCAAACCTGCACGTTATTATAATAAAATTAAAGAGCCTACAAAACTGCATACCCAATAAGTTTCTAAAAATTCTGAATAAAAAGTTGAAAGATTTGTTGAAATTTTTTTGATTTTTTTTTATAATTTTCCTCAACCTTGAACTTATGTATATTAGTAGGGGAGCCCAAGATGGCATTCGGGGATTTAGTCGAGCGCGTTAAATTAACATATGGGGATACCCTGCATCCTGTTGAGTACCTCTGCCAAATCTAAGTCATCTGTGTAGAGTAGACTGTCCCAAGAATACGTGGAAAAAAATTTGTTTGCAAATTTTAATATGCATACTCTCTACATTTGTGCTTTTTAACCTAAATAGCATATATGTATGTATATGAAGTTGTATGGCCGTAGGACAACGATAACCCGTGCCGAATTTTAGTTGAAGTTTTAGTTAAGAGCTTGAATTAAGGCTAGAAAATCGTCCATGAAAACTTTGGAAATGCAAAAAATTTGATATGTTTCCCATACTTGAATGCATTTCTAGTAAATTTGCATCTTTCAATTTTTAATAGGACGGGAGGATTTCTCTCAAGGACATTGAAAAAATTAATTAATAGAAAAATCAGAGCGGCTTTGAAAGGGTGTATTACTAGGCTGCAAAGCGATATGTTTTCTAGTCGAATAAATTGTGTCAAGTAGGTACTGAAAATTTGCAGTTGTAGACCAGGGCGTATGATGAACATTAAATTTTTATATTTAACTTTTTTAACAAACTCTTTTGCTCCTTAAAAAATGCCTTTCATAACAATGTACGGCAAAATCACATTTTTTTCTGCGTATTGGACCAAACCAATTTTTTTAAGAGATTGAGTCATAGGTAAAAAAGTAATTTCTCCGTTTTTCGAAGTTAGCCTCCGAAATCGAGATATGGGCCTTCGAAGTTCGAAATAGGACCTTTGGTAAAAAATTATATTTAATTATTGCATATAAATAACTAAAAACCTCAAAATATAGACGTAGTCGTCCTTTTGCTCTTATTTAAATGGTATATCACTTTTCTTGTGCAAACTTATATTACAGGTGCTATAAGGGGTCAAAGTTCAGGTCTTCGAAAAATTAAATTCCTTATATTTCAAACAATTTTGAACTGATTTTTAATCCTTGATATTTATATCGTTGTAAAGGTTATTAAACCCCCTTTCTTTCGATATGATATTTGTATATTTCGTATATAAAAAGTTTAGAAAAACACATTTATATTTATAAAATTATAACATTATAAAAAAAAATACCACCCGATTTAAAAAAAATTGGGATCGTTGTAAAGACAATTACATCCCCTTTCTCCTGATATGCATATTTGTAAACTTCGTATATAAAAAGTTTAGAAAACCACATTTAAATGAAAAATACCTATTTTTATAAAAAAAAATATTTTAATAAAAAAAAATTACTAACCGATTCTTAGAAGGTTGGTATCGTTGTAAAGGCGAAAAAACCCCCTTTCTTCTGATATGCATATTGTTATACTTCGCATATAAAAATTTGAGAAAAACACATTTAAGTGAAAATTACCTTTTTTTTTAAAAAAAAAATGTTTAAACAAAAAAATACTAACCGATTTAAAAAAAATGGTATCGTTATAAAGGCGATTAAGCCCCTTTCTTCTGAAACGCATATTTGTATATGTCGTATATAAAAATTTGAGAAAACCACATTGCAAGGAAAAGTTAACTTTTTTTTATAAAAAAAATATTTGAAACAAAAAAATTACAAACCGATTTTTAAACAGTTAGTACCGTTGTAAAGGCGATGAAACCCCCTTTCTTCTGATATGCATATTTGTATACTTCCTATATAAAAATTTGAGAAAAACACTTAAAAGGAAAATATACCAATTTTTTCTTATAAAAAATATTTTAAACAAAAAAATTACTAATTAGTAATACAGTGAAATACTTCATTTAAATAAAACAGAAAATTATCTTTAATTTTTATATATAACCTGTTATGTAAAAAATCAGAAACCATGGTGTTTTTATATTTTTATATTTCTTAGACTTCTGTTACATATACTTTTGCTTTATTTTTAACAGGGCTGTGGGTGAACACGAACGAATTAACGCTTAAAATACTATAAATTATTAAATACGCTATTTAATTGTATTACTACTTAGTAATATTTATATTTTTGTATTTTTTTTATATGAAAAAATTTGTATTTTTTCCTGTTAAGTGTTTTTTCTCCAATTTTTATATACGAATTATACAAATATGCATATTAGACGAAAGGGGATTTAATCGCCTTAACAACGATGGAAATTTTTTTAAAATCGCCGAGCAATTTTTTTGTTTAAACTCTTTTTTATATACAAGAAGAGGTATTTTTTCCCTTAAATGTGTTTTTCTCAAATTTTTATATACGAAGTATACAAATATGAATATCAAAAGAAAGGGCGTTAAATCACTTTTACCTTTAAAAAATCAGTTCAAAATTCTCTGAAATATTAAGTTTTTAATTTTTCGAAGTTCTGACCTTTTACCCTGTTTCACAAGAAAGTTATATACCATATAAATAAGAGAAAAAGGTGGACCACGTCTGTGTTTTTATTTATTTTTTGCTTTTTACATGCAATAATTAAAAATAATTTTATACCAAAGGTCCAATTTCGAATTTCGAAGGCCCATATCTCAATTTCGGAGGCTAACTTCAAAAACCGGAGAACTTACTTTTTTTACTTTTGACTCAATCAAAAAAAGTTGGTTTGGTCCAATACCCAGCCGAGTGCTGTACAGTGCAATATTAAATAAACAAAATAAAGTGTTTTAGTGTTTGATATGTCCTCTTGATTAGAATAAATCTGGCAGTATTAATTAAAAAATGTGAATAATATCCTTTGAAAATTTTATCCTTTAGTATACTTATGTATATTAATAGAGTTTAAATTAAACTAAGATTCCTCAAAACTCATTCAAAATTAAAAATCTTAAAGGATATTTTTGACAAGTTCCAAAAGGATAATTGAAAACAAAAGTTATAATTAATTTTGTTTCGAATTATCCTATCAAGTGATAGGCATATATCCTTATTTTGTGTAGATTTTTTTAAAATGTTTTATAATTTATGGTCCTTTGAAAAAATCCTGACTACCGGGTTAAAGACCGGGTTGATCCAAAAAAAAATTTTATAGATAAATCTACAGATATAGCTTTAAAATTATAAAATTTTCATTTCAACAATCACTGTCCGCCACTGTCGGTAGGCCTTCTTAACTACCCGCCTCCACAGGATGAAGTTTATATCTTGATACACACATATTTTAGAATATAATAGCCAATGCAACCCGCTCATTGCTTTTCAAGAGAAATATATATCAGAGCTTATATCTTGCCATCTATTGCCGGAAATTTGGTAGTTTGACAGCTACATACATTTTAATTTGCACGCCAACTTCGTGGCGGCAACACTATACATATATATTTTAATATAAAAACAAAAATTTAGCTGTTTTCTATTAAAATATTTGTCATTATGTAATTGGATGTGAAATAGCTTATTTCCTAAATTTTTTAAGCGATTATCTTACAATTGCTTATATCAAGATATAAAAGGCCCACACAAATATTGCCGCTGATATAACTTACATATATCTAGCGACCAAAATGACAGCTGGAGAGCAATACATTTTATCGTGGAACGACGGCCAGTAAGTGAAGCCATTCTAAAAGGCTTGCCAAAGAAGGGCTAACAAAATAATGCTTCCTACATACCTTCTACAAGGGCTTTTCTTATATAGGTACAATTTACGCGAATGTATAAGTTTTAATTGTTTAGCAATATAAATGAATTTCAATATGAACTTTAAATTGCTACAAACCTTCATATAAACCTTAAATAAATTTACCTAATAGCGTTTTCTTTTCTTGAAATAATTTTGCATTCTGCTCTGCGCCAGGGCTTTCAAGTTTTCGTGTTCGTTTTTCAGCATCTTAACAGGCATATTGCGTGCTCTGTCTTTAAAATGCTGCACTCCGATAATGTTGCCATATATTTCAAAAGGTAAAATTTTTTTCAAGAAAACAAAACGCCATAGAAGCAATTTTAGCAGAACTGCTCTAAAAGGCTTTTTGAAGTACGTCCTACAGAAGTCCTCCTTGGATAGCGATAGCACAAGCCCTTCAATTTGTGCCATCCATAACTAATACATAACTACAAAAAAAAAGACAAAAAATGAGGAAGGAATGCCTCTTGACTCTCAGAACGGCCCGTTGGAAGAGCTTTTATCTCCTGAAATTATCTACTGGGTGTATTTGCTTACTTTATTTTTTTTTTAAACTTTTTTCACAGCGCTAAAACAGAAACCCGGTTTATTTTTTTTTGTGCTCAATAAGTATTTC